TAATTATAATATTATATTATTAAAATAATTATAATATTATTATAATATCATATTATATGATAAAATAATAATATTAGAGTTATTAATATAATTATGATATTATTTGTTACAATATTACTATTATATTATATTATATTACATTACGAGTTTAAATTTTAGATTGGAAGATTGTAAATTTTAAATTTCATTAGGGGCATTATGGGTATTATGAAAGTTTCATTAATTATACTATGTTGATTCTCGCATAATCTAAAAACTAAAGTTGTCTTTAGGCTTCTTCTGATTTTGACTGTAGATTCTTCAAAAATTATTTAAAAAACACTTTTGAAGAGATTTACTAAACACTAAAATCAACTTCTGCTACAAGTAGAAACTGATTTTAGGAGGGAAAAGCAATACCAAACTAAGCCTTTATCTACTTCACTATAACGATTACTGATCAAAAGTGAAAGTACGGTACAAGGCAATCGACTTTGTTAGTTGGATTCTTATTTTTTTTCCCTTCTGATCTCTCATCACATATCCTTCTCCTAGTTAAAACTTCCTCTTGAGATGCCAGCGTAGATTTCAAGTTTCTCCTTTCCTTTCCTTTCCCTTCCCATATCTATATTAAGGAGTTGTTTGGTTAGGGGATTCGTACCCCGATTCAAATCATGGTTCGTGGTTCGCTACAGTGTTTTCTCTCATAAAAAAATACACGTAAATAAAAAATGGTTCTAATCTCATGATTCTAATCCATGAACTAAATGTCTCCTAAAATTCTTGAGTATTATGCACGCGCGTTTGAAAGTTCTCTCCATTCTTGATCTTGTTCCCACTTATATGTAGTTCTAACTCCGGTCAAAGGACTTCCTGTACAGGAAAAGCGACTACAGAAGTTCAAGCTTCCAGAACCTGTCCTTTGCATTGGTGGCTATCTGCAGATTGAGCTCCTGGGTAGAGTACAAAGACAAGAAATGGATGGGTTGTACTATATATGGTCTGTTTGATATTATTTTTTCTATTTACTTTATGCATATGTTGTCTGTGCAGTCAAGCTTATGAAATGCTTATTCTCCTTGTGATCTTTTCTTTTGAACACATTTCCACAAGGAACATGTTCTTGCATTACATGCAGGGACTTATTTTGGCTGGGAATTTGTGGAAAAGAAAAAGAAATTAAATGTAAATGTATATAGTACATAGATGTCATGTATATTTAGGTGGTTTCTATGATCGATGATACATCCTCTTCTCGTATTTGGAACAGAAAAAAGATGGTTATTGGTGTTCAAAAATTGAGTGCAAACAAGTGGAATGATTAGGAACTCCAATAAGGTTTCTATCTTCTATTTGAAGATGTTAGAACTTATAATTTTATAAATGTGTATTTTTTTTTTTCCCATGATAGATTGTGGTTGAAGATGAGAGACCAAATTAGATAACAAGATTTGTTATGGATGTAACTATTGGCTGTCTACTAATAGGTTCTGTTTGACGTATGGAAAGATTCCAAGTGAATAGCATAACAATCCCTTTTTAATTTACTTCATTACAGTCATCTCCTCTCAAGTAATTGGCAGAGCTTTCTGTATGCATTTCTAATCTCAATTTTATTTCGTACTGCCAGTGTTTCTCATGTTCAAGTTATGGGCCATTCTTTAGCACCTGCACTTGGAGTTGAAGGTCTCGATTCATCTGGAAATTTTGTTTTGAAGCACGACCTGCAAGCAGACAATTCCCAACCAGGCTTACCTGAGAATAAGCCTTGTTCAAGCTCCACTGTTCATCTGGAGAGACGTGTGAGAACTTTGGAGCAGATTTTGGAGATGTTGCGTGGAAATCAGATTGAGTATGTCTTTGCAGACGAGGATGAAGATGAATCAGATGAAGAGTTTGTTTTCTAGGTCTATGCATTGAAAGATGCCCTTGTACGTTTGTTTACATGTCCTCCCTCTGAACTGAATTGAATCCATGTTGGGTTTAATTTTTTTAGGAGGCTTTTCAGATTGAGAATGATAATGTTATGAACTTACCTTGTGCAGGATTTTTTTTTTTTTTTTTTTTTTTCTGAAACTCCTTTTCACGTGTTTTTTCGTCTTTTCATTTTTTTTTAAAGGATAATGGTGCTATAGGTCTCTAAATTTTAAGTGATTGATCAATTAGCACTTATCTAATCCTAAATTAAATTTGTAATTGTAATAATATTCAAAGTGGCAATTTCCATTAAATTGAGACGTGATTGCTCACATACATTGCACTGGATGACTGCAGGGCATGATTCCGTGCAGGACAAGACTGATTTGACAAATTTTAAATTTACCAGTCGTGTGTCAAATGCTGAGGGTGCGGGATTCTGCGGGTATGTTTGTAGTGTCTTTTGAAGTTTAAAATTAATTCTCCGGTCTTCCATAAAATCCACAATTGAAATTAGTGTTTAGTAAAAATTATAAAAAATAATTCTTAAAAAATTTGTAAAAAATTTACAATTAAAATTAAAATTAGTTAAAAATAAGCATTAATTTTTAAATTATGCGCAATATGTTTCTGTATCATTAATGAAATTTTCATAATACTCTAAATAACTCTAATGACATTTGAAAATACCAATCTTGACTTGTCAAACCCTAACACATATCATACTCATCTAGAACAAAACTCTCTGATTCAACGTTTCCTCTTTCCAGAATCTCTCTGAGTTCTTTTCTGGGTTTACATTCCTTCAAGTTTTTTTCATTTCGTTTTGTGACTTGGGATTAGAACGTCTCTCTCTCTTTGAGTTCTTCTTTTTTGAGTTTAGGTTCCTTCAAAATTTTTTCGTTTTGTTTTGTGATTTGGGATTAGATTTGGTTTGGTTGATTGTGTTTATTTAGTTGGTTTACATGCTTCTTCCTTCTGCTTCTTCTTCTTCTTTGTTTTAGTTTTTGGTATTTTTGTATTTCTGATATGAGAATAGGAAATTCTGGATTTTGTAAGGAGTTTAATATTTTTTATGGTTCTTTTTTATTCTCCAGATTCGTCAAATGTGTTAAATTCTGAAAGTTTACCAATATATATTTATGTGATTTCATTTATTATAGTTGATTGTAAATAGCGATTTTTGTTGCTTGATTGTGCAGTTCATACTCTATTGTCTTTCTTTCCTTAGTTGGTTTATATACTCACTGTATCTTTCCTCTTTTATAGTTTCATTGTGATTGTCTGTTCTTTGTTTTGTTTCCTTTTTCTTGCTGGACCAGTTGTTTGAGGAATGCTCTTCAAATACAGATGTATATATATACTCGTTGTATATAAACAGAACATTTGTAACTCTGACAAAAACAATAAAAAAGAAAAGGCTCATTTAACCAATTCTCATATTTATTTATTTATTTTTTTGGGTGCAAATTGGGGTCTAGAAAAGTGTTGCATATGAATCCTCTTATGTGAATCTTCTAATTATCATTTACTTGAAGGAATTCGATAGCGTTCAAGAATCTAATGTACTTGCTTATTCCTACCCGAGAATTGTTTTTGATGTACTTGCTTATTCTGGGGAAGAAATGAAAATATTAATTTACTATAATCTAATCTTAGTGAGAAAAGTGAACTTTTTTTTTTTTTTTTTGTTTAGGTTATCAAGTATTTATGTATAAAATTAAAATAATATTTATATTTAAATTTTCATACCATATCTATTTGTCATTTTAATTGCTCACATCAATTTAACATAACAATTTATCAAACACTATTATACTGCTTTTGAAACCAATACTTGTAAAATTACAGTTTACCAAACCTCTCAGTTGCTTTATGTTACTATTTTTCCTTTCAACACAGCTAATAATAATTTTTCTAAAATCTACAACACTATTAAATTGGCCTTATGTGGAACTACACGATAAATAATTCATTTATTATGTAACATGTTATTTACTTCAAATAATTTTAAAATATGATATTTACTTATTTTAATTTTAAAAACCTTTACTACAATTTTCCATGGATGGTCAAATTCATCTGGTTTGCCAAAACTAAAGTTTGTGGTTCAAGTTGCAAAACCACCAATATACAAGAGTGCACCGACGCAACAACAGCAACAAGAAAACAAAAAAAAAAAAAACCCTATTATTGGGTATTTTTATGATTTTTTTTTTAATTTTTGGAAATAGGTACCGGTTTGGATTATAATTGCAGCTAAAACTTCAATTGAGGTGTTTTCCTCGTTAAATTAGACCGGATGGTCCGGATATAAATGGTCATACTTTTGGCCCGTTTAAAGATCCTAATCTAAGTCTTAGTTTATGATATTTTGAGTATACATGGTGAATAAACGTAATATAACATTTTTTTTTTTCGATTTTAAACTTAGTATATATTGATTGGTTGATAATTGCGATGGCTATTTGGTATTTAACTCTTGAAACCTTGGAAGCCACCGAAGACGTTGGAAGACGAATCGGAAAGAATGAAGCTTTGTTTAAGAAAGCGCAGGCAATAAAGTGCACAGATCATAGCCAACTTGTCTAACTAAACATATAAATCTGCGATAACCACCATTACTGGTGTTTTATTTTTGAACAAAAATAATAGAAAAGTATCAACCGTAACCCATAAATTATTCCGAGAGACAAAATAAACCCAGGGATTAAATTCAGTGCAAAAAGTGTTGCCAAATCGGAATGGGTAACTTTCCCATATAGAACCACCTATCAAGTATTTTGCTTCCACCTAAAAACTAAATATGAAGGAAACAACATTATATTATTGCTATTGTAACAAAGCAGTATGGAAGGCCCAAGATAAAGAAAAGCATTTTACAACTAGTTATTTAAAGGCTTCCATTGCCAAGGATTTGTATCATAACCCTAAATAATTATTAGAAGACATTGAAGCTTGCAGAGCATAACAGACTTATCTTCATGCTGACTTGGACTTTGGTGGCGACGGAAGCAACTGCATTAACAAACAGTGAGAAAAAGATCAGGCTCTCAAATATTGCTACAAAAGCAACCGTCATAACCCTTTCAATGAATAGTTGTTGATGTCGACATTGATGAACAAACAAATTTAACTAAGAATCAGTGATTACCTGATAACACGAGATGAGAGAGGAAACAAACCCAAATGCTCCGGTAACACGAGGGGTAACTTTCTTTGGTGCCAACTGAAGCAGTCCAACGGCTACCACTATATCCACGGATGCTTTGATCAGGGCCAGTGTCCTCTCGTTTGATTTTTTTAGTTTAGCACGGTACTGCTCATTCTGCACTCATAAAGGCACGTGGTAATGACGCAAAATACAATGATATGACCGAAAGAAAATAATAATCTGTGATAATCTGATATTGCATTGCATGTGGTTAACTACATACTTGGTATTTATCAGTGTTTTTGAGATCCTTCTCCAACTTCTTCATTGATGCGGAAAGCCTTCCAAGCTCCCCAACCTGAAATAAAAGAGGGTGTGAAAACAAAATTTCAAACAATCCGTGTTGAGGGATGTGAAAAATCTGTGCCCTAAAGATAACGGGAAGAAACAAACCTCAACCAAAGTGGTGCAAACCGACGATCCCATCCAGCAGAAAAGAGATATCCGGCCAATTAACTCAGCCCGTTCTTTGTTCTATATAACAAACATTGTTTTAGCTTTTCCACACTTGGTAAGAACTCACGCGTCATGAACAGAACTGACCAAAAAATAAAATAAAATAAAAAAACGCATCCCATACCTTATAGATTCCTGTTCTGCCAAGCCAGACAATTTGATCAAGAAATAGAAAAGTTGACAGCAATGCGTTTTTGGACTGTAATATGCACCAATAAGTCAAAGAACTGAAAAAAAAAAAAGAAGAGGATTCTCATAGAAATATGAAGTCAGAATCATATTAACACCTTTCCCAGCAGAACAAGCGGAAGAGGAGTTCCTTGAGGAGTTGGACTAATAAGAGCATGCAGATCATTGACAAACTGCAGAAGGACATTGCAACTCACATATTAGGCCGATGAGTGAAAAATTCGTTTACAAATATAAATATAGAATGACATCTCCACTGAAGCTTGAAGAGTAAATCTCACTCGTGAAAAGTGCAAACATGGGATGATAAATCCTTCATAAAGACATTATTTGTTAATCACAATTCTTTTTTTTTTTCCTGACTCTCTAAAAGAGCCGATATGTGCACCTAAGTCATGGAACACCCTCTACTAGAAATACATGCGCAGGACATGGAAAAAGATCAGACAATTTTATATATGTCCACTAAAGAAAACGGATATTGTTATAGAAAAGACAAAGGGTACAGAGAATGCTACAACTAGAAGCAAATAGAAAACCCTAACCTTAAAAAGACGGAAAACTTTTCTTGCCAAGCTAGTTGATTTGTCAACATTTTGGGCCGTCCCAGGTTCTCCATTACTCAAAAATTTTGAACCATATTGTATTGCTCTGCATATCTTATCCCTGGCTTCAGCCTTGTTCAGATACAACACTACAAGAGCGAGTTCTGCTCTAGTTGTGTCCAATGTACTCATCTTTTATGTCGAACCTGCTATATTATTGTGCAGAACATATAATGTCAACACATAATTCAGATAAGCAAACAATCCAGCAGCATAAAAACCGAGTTAAACGTTCCAAACACGTTTCATAGCCGCCGAAATTAAATTATCAAAGACACAAAAGCAGATATAGTTTCACCATAACTATAACGAGTTGTACAGAAGTTTTCATTCCATTTAGAGGTTTTCCTGTTGCCTAGGCAATGATTCCTTGACGTAGTTCTTTTCTTGGAAGATAAAGTACAATACATAGAACTCTATATTTATCAAGCAAGTCGAAAATCTTCAATTCTTTTATTAATCACGGATCATTTGCTAATGAAAGAAAACAAATGAGCCGACTCTTATATTATGCGTCTTAACAATCAGCCAAGCTTAAGATCAACATGAAAAATCTCTACTACGAGTAGAGTAGACAAAGAGTCTTAAACCAACTGACGCGGAAACAGTATGTATGCGAAATGAATACGGGAAAGGAAGCAAAGGTACAAATCTTCAGCACCATATAGCACTCCAATAATTATAAGGTTTGTATTCTCCAACTAAAAGAAAAACAAATGAGTTAACGGTCATCAATAATTTCCCTAAAAATAAAACACCAGACATATTTCATAATCTCAAGAAAGTCCTTTTACCTCCATTCCCAAACAATATCACAAAACACAATAGCTCTTACAAGTCTATTCGTAAAACTGACTATGCAAAATGCATCCCCACAACTTTAATCTGAATTTAAATCCAAAAATTCTCCCTCTGCAACCATCTTTATCCTCTCTTAGCTGAATAAACTCCCGAATCGTTAAATTCATGATTAATTTTGATAAAATTTACCTAAAATTATTGTTCTATAACATCATATAATCAGGTAAATTGACCTAAGATTGAAAGGAGAAAAAAAAAAAAAAGAAGAAGCATAGAACTATGACAAACCCACACAGAGACGTCAAATGAATACAAGTTCCATTCTTTTCCAGAAAATTTTAGGGGGACAAAAATCAACAATACCATAATATCGTTTTCCCCCTCTCCTCTTCATTTTCCGAGCAAACAAACAATGGATAACACGTAAAACCAATTAAGACATCAACAAGATAATCGGAACCCAATACCAGATGGTCACGGTTGAGGTCAAAAGAGGGTACGAATTGAAAATAATAACAAAAGAGAAAATTAAGTTTTCAGAGAAAATCAAACACGTTTGTACCTAAAGCAGCGAAAGAGATCCTTGTACTGGGCAAACCCTAAAAGCACTGAACAAGAGAACAACCGGAGAAACAGATTATCGAGTTCAATACGTGTAGAGAGAGAGAGAGAGAGAGAGAGAGAGAGAGAGAGAGAGAGAGAAGTACCGAAAGGAGTGCCAAACGAAATGGGCCTCGAAAGCCGCTAACTCTTTCAGCTTAGAGATAGGAAGGCTGAGCTCAGCTCTGCTCGTCTTTTTTCTTCCTTACACGCTTGATAGACCGATGATAAGGGCTTGTTTGGTCCTCTCTTTTCCAAAACAAACCAACAAAATAATAATAATATTTTTGGTGACCATTTGCAAAAGTGGATATACAATTATTTGTTTATAATAACATGTCTTGTGACGATTTCCGCCTCTTCTGAATTTGAGTTTTTAATTTGAGTTGAAATGTGACATTTTTTAAGAGTTTTTAACTGCAGTAAAAAAGTTAAATGTGATATTTTTAAGAGTTTTTAACTTTATAAACTTAAAATTGAAAACTTGAATCGGTAAAATAAACGAGCCATTCATTTTCCTCTAATAATTGAAATCACTGGCCATGGCCATCCTTTCCGCTTTGTAGTGCTAGTGGCCTAATGGAATCCTCCTTGTAGAAGGCATAGAAAATATCGAACTGTCTTTGATTGTAACCAATTGTTATTGTAGTGTGTTAGGAGTCCTTTTAAATTCCATAATCAATGCTAGCAATTAGTATTATGAGACATTTTCTGATACGCCAACATATTAGTAGGACAAGTTTTTTATCCGTTAGATTTGCATAAAATCAAGTAAAAGTCAAAAAATATACATATTTAACAGTTAAAAAATATGATCTACTGGTACGCCTGACGTACCAGAGAATCTCTCTAGTATTATATGTATAAATTGTGGTTAAAGACTCTGGAAATCTACCGTAAAAAAATAATTAATGAATAAAGAAATTCATAAAATATAGGGGTTGTTCTTTTCACAACTCAAGTTGTGAACTTGAGTTGTATATGTGAGAGAAAAATATTGTAGTAAAAAAGTTGATTTTGAATTTTTATTAGAGAAAACACTATATCAATAGAACTTGAGTTGTGATTTGAGTTATGAAAGGAACAACCCTATAGTAATTCTTAACTACGAGCCTAGACTATAGATTAAAATAGAGGTGCTCATAGAATCTGTGAATCCACACAATCCAATTCATGGATTGAATTGGATTGAGAGGAGTTTTAGATTGGTACCGAATTAGGAAAATCTCAGTATGAAGGTATTGGATTGGTTTCTCAATCCGTAAAATCCGTGAATCCAAACATATGATATGGGTGTTGAAGGTGTAAATTCATTAATCCACTAGTAGATGCACTGAATCTCAAAGAGTTCACATGATCTCTCTCAAAGTAAAAAATTGTGCATAAAAAATAAATAGGGAGTTTAACCCTTATTTATAGGTTCTCTAGTACGCAATACCTCTATTTCTAGGGTACATGACGAGATAAGCTTTTAATCTCTCGTTTAAATAAGGATTTACACGGCTTTATCTCTACACATAACTATTTGAATTTAAACACATGTTTGTAGATGATAATCTCTATCTGATCCAGTTGGTGATCTCTAATCTCCCGTTTAAATTTAAATAAGAGATAAGAGTTATCTCCTTCTGATTTTGCAGGTTTATATTGATCTCGGCCTCCTTTGGGAATTGCTGACTCCTCAACGCCTTTGACATAATAGCCTTTGTTGGACTCCTCAACCATAACAGCACAGCTTGTCCAAAGTGCTCCTCAACTTGATGGTTCCTTGCTCAATTGACACTTCTCGACGTATAGGTTTTTCCTTCGCTTCCGGAACTTTCGACAGCTTGCCCCATCCAATTGGTCAAATTCCCCAACCATGGTGTAACAATAGGTGTAGTTTTAATGGTTACTCCAATATTTACCCATCAATGGGTATCATTGTTTTAGCTGTAAGATATTAATATAACAGTTATAATAAATTATATAGTTGACCAGCAAAATTTATGACAATTAATGAAACTGGATTTTTATCACGTCCCGTCATTAGATTTCTATATTTGGTGGTAAACCGATTGAAACGTAACCATTAAAAACTTATAAGTTTTAATTTCATTTTGAGTTTTACTGAATCTAGTTTGGCATTGTTAATTAAGTTTTAATTTCGTATATGTTTAATATACTTAATAACTCTCAAGGTCCTAATTGTAAAATCCGTAAATCTAATCCACAAAATCTGACAAGTTTTAGATTAAATTGGGTTAGACTGGAAAAAAATTTGAATTGGACATAAATTTAGATTTTTCCAATCTGAAAGTTTTGATTGGATCGTAGATTGACCTCTAATAAGAGGATTCTAATCCATGAGCACCCTTAAATTAAAATTATGTTTAATTCCACAAATAGTCCTTGACTTTATCTCAATCTCGTTTTGGTCCTTGGTTTTTAAAATGTCTTACGGTTGGTCCCTAATAAGTTACTCTGTTTCAATTTTAGTCCTTCCACTAGTTGGGTGTTAAATATTTGATAGAATCTATAGAATTTAGGATCAATGTAGGAAACATCTAAAGTTTATAGACTAAAACAATACAAAAAAAATATAATTTTTGAAAATAGTCCTTAAATTTTAGATGTTTCTAATTATGGTTCCTAATTTTAACAGATTGCATTAAATATTTAACACCTAACTAACAGAGGACCGAACTGAAACAGAGTACTAGATTAGGGACTAACTTTGAGGCATTTTAAAAGTTAAGGATTAAAGTGGGATTAAGAATAAACCTTATGTATCATTTATGTGATTAACCCTTAAAATTAAATATATAACAGGAGAAAGGAGGAAATTAAAATTTTTAGATGTGAAGTACAAATAAATAGCATATTGTTATGAAAACTAAGAAAATGCAAAACTAAAAAGAAAAACTAGAGAGAGAGAGAGAGTTTTATTAATCTTGTGAATGTATATAAAATGAAGAGCTTTAGAGCTCTATTTATAGGAAAATTTTAAGCACTATTCATGGTTACTATTTGCAACAGAAAGCAAATCGCCCTAAAATTTTTAATTTTGACAATCAACCACCTGAATTTGTTTATTTATTGCAATTAGACACATTTAGGTAAACGACAGTTAAATTTTAGACATAATTATATATGTGCCAGTCATATGTGGGGTTCTAAAAAGGCAAAATAAAATTTTTTTATCCTTATTATTAAATAAAATATTTATTAAAGTCTTTCTCTGTTTGGTATTTAATTCCTTCTCTATTTTTCTCTTTTCTTTTCATTTATTACAATGTAAATGAATCCATGACAAATTTGTTGGTTTCTGAAATGATTTTGGGTGCGGAAGCGTATTGTATGGATCATGTATAATAAAAATTTTTAAAAAACTTTTGAAACACTCTATAGAATATAATAATTATACCTGAATAAATCAATCTAATTAATTTATTAATTTACCTAGCGAACGATTAGGTCGATAACTTGAGTTCTTTGACCACGAACAATCTTCATGCTAAACTCTTTAGGAAAACCCAAATCTTACTCGTCTAGTCCTTGGTATCTGCAAGAATTGATCACTCGCTAAATTTAGAACTATAAGAATTGATCACTCGCTAAATTTCTCTTCCACCAGTATCAACACATGTATGAGGTGGAACTTGGATTGGAAGAACACTTCTCTTTTCTCTCTCTATGTTACACGCCTACACCAAGGGGAAAGAGAGCAAAAATTATATTTTTTAATTTTCTATTCCCTCCAATTCATATTATCATTGGGAAGCTCCTTCTTTATCTTCAAGCTAAAGTAATAGAAGATTGATTATCGCTTATATTTTAAATCATGTTTAAAATATACTTTCCCATATAATTTTAGAAACAAAATTCTCTTTCTCTTCTCAATATCAAAACCGGACCCCACATAGATTTATCCCCTGTGGGTGGTGTCCTACACAGTGAAGGAGAAGGAAAAATTTTCTCCTTTAACCTGTTTTCAATTTTGACTCAATTTCAAATAAAATCAAACTTTAACATCATTTTGAATTTAAGTAGATAACTTGTCAAACAAGTAAGCCAGATAATTTATAGAGAAAACAACTGAATCCCAGATGGATTCTTCCCTATGCCACACACCCCCTGCACCTCCCTGTCCCTGGCCATGTGGCCTCCTATGGTCCCACCACATGAGTGTATCCAAAATTAATCATTTAAACAATCACATTATTTATTTCAAGTGGTATTAATTCTCAATAAATCATCTTGTCTTGCAAATATTATAAGGATGACACATGGACCTATAATTCTGAGCTACAATAAACTTAATAATTAATTAAACTCTTTAATTAATTAAATGATTAATTCTAAAAGTTAATCAACTATAAACTTAAAATTGCACACTTGAAATTATAGACATAATTTACTTCCAAGAACTTGAAGTTTCTATTTAATATAGTCATTACATATAGATTAATCCTCCATAAATAATTCATAATTAGAGTTAGCTAAAATCCATTAACCTTTCTAATTACTTCTTTACCCTTGAGTGTCATTGATTCTCTAATGAATAATATATTCATAAAACACATTCATGAATACAACCTCGTTACTTATTCATTATGCATAATAAACTCATTCAATATCTCTCCATATTAACAATGCGGATAACATTGTTACATTCTTAATGGGAATGATATGTATTAGTAACGTTTTAATTAAATTCATTACGCACATATTTTGATTAGTGTCTTTAAATATTATCCTCTCATATATAACACTTATACACAATATTCAAGGTTACATAAATAATTGTAGAATTTTCAATGATATTTATAAAGTATTCAATAATACATACACATAAAATAATGAAAAACTATTTTATTAAATAAATAATAAATAGCCTATTACATCTCATGCTTTTCCTAGACCATTCTTAACAATCTTCCACTTGTCCTAAAGCGAGTGTGACATGTCCCTAATCCCAAATCCTTTCAAGTGTCTATCAAACACGTTTAGTAGCAATGTCTTCGTGAGCAGGTCCATGAGGTTGTTCTGTGATACGATCTTCAGAACCTCTACATCGCCTCTCTCAATGATATTTGTGATAAGGTGATATTTCCTTTCTACTGGCACCTTAACGCGTCAAAGAGCCTAGTAACGGGCCTTGCGAGCCCGAGGGTTTTTGAAAACCTATTTTGCATGAATTTTGACCTGAAAGAGTTTCAGATCAAAAATTGAAGGTACCCGAGCCGAAGACAG